AAGCTTCTGAAAACAAAAAGCATACGGTAATTCTTTTCATTTATATTGGGTCATTTATTAAGTATCTGTACTGTATATGACATGGGCCTGCCAGTTAGAACTTTCTAAAGTGGTTTACATGTGTTAAATTGTAAAAGTAGACTTAAAAAAATAATAATAATAAATAAATAAATATCCTACTTAATAATAATAAGAATCATCATCATCACCATCATTAATATTATTATTAAAGTAGCATTTTTTTATTTCTAATAAATAATTAATATTACATTTCATTTTATAATAAATAGCCTTTATTATTTATTTATTTTTATGATTTATATGATATTAGAATACGTGTTAGCTTTTGTAAGTGATATGTTTTAGAATAGAATGTGTAATGTTCAACTTCTCAATAATATTAGTAAAGCAAACATTAGCCCTGTTTGTGTCATTTACATATATTTCAGTTATTATAGAAAGCGAGTGCATATTTTTACCAAATCTAATATTGAATTCTATTGTAAATGCGTGTGCGTGTATAATTTGCACAAATAAATTAAGTTTCTTTTCTCTAAAGTAGTTTAGAGCATCATTACGGGCATTTTATCATAATTATAACTAACCTGGTTTAAGCGATGGATCTGCGACAGAGAAACTACAGGTTTTGGAAAACACTCGTCACTACATCATTCTTTTCTCAAACGATGCATCAGACTTTTATAGTTTAGCCGTGAGTTACTTCGTTGTTTGGGAAACGCAGCCCAGACCATCAGTTTCCAGTCATGCTGAGGTGCGAGTCCCATTTCTCCACAGGCCCCAGTCTAATCTGCAAAAGACAAAAACAAGACTAACAAAGCTCTACTTGCTGGATGATCTGCATCAATAAACCAAACGTTCTCCAGTGTTCCTCAGATAAATATTCACCATTTTGCTTGTGAGTCTGACTCTTCTGCCTGTTGAAGTTGTAAATAATAGCCACAGACAATACATATATCTAACAATCTATGCCCACCACCACCCCCTTCCACTTGGAAGGACATCCATCCATGCACCTATTCATCTACCTTTAAAGGATATTCCTGACCATCAGTGTCCATTGCTGAGGTGTGTGATTCCTATTTGTCTCCACATGCTGCACTCCAGCCTGGAAAAGATAAAGACACAACTAACAGAGCTCTACATGCTTGCTGAACTCCAGAAATGCATAAACTGTTAACCAGCGGTTTTCAGACAAATTTCCACAGATGCTCTTGTGAGTCTCCTTCTTCTGTCTGTTGTGTGTCCATTACAGGAAAAAGAAACACCTGCCGCAAACAAGACATTTATCTGGCTTAAAGAGATTCCAGACAATCATCTAGTATGTACAAATGAAAGTATATGATTTTAAATGTTTTATAAAGTTAATTTGATTCAACCTAAAAAAGTGTAAGTCTGTATCTAATTTATTACGATGCACTTGTCATTACTAAGGTGCGTTTCCCTGTTCCTCCACATGCTCCATGCCAACCTGTCAAAGAGAAAGATATCAGGTCGTTATTTTATCTCAATAGATTTCTTTGAAAGCAAACTCCAATTTTCAGTCTTTTCAAGCAGTTCTACCTGCTTCCTGAGCTCCAGGTCTTGCAGTATATCTCCACCATTCCACTTGTGAGTCTCCTTCTTCTGCTCCACTCCAATCTGCAAACAAACAAAGACAGCCCCAAGTGCACAGTCCACACTTCTTTTAAACGGTTAAATAAGAGCATCATCCGTGAATTTAAAGTGAACTTAATCTTTTTAAAATAAAAGAATATTGTCAGTGCAATAGCCTTGTGGTCAATGCGCTGACATATGCTGCAGTAGCACAATAGGGCGTCCCGAGTTCGAAACCCAGCTCAAAGACAATTCCCAACCCTACACCCTTCTCTCTCTCCCACTTCGTTTCCTGTCTCATTACTGTCCTATCTAATAAAGGCAAAAAAGCCGAAAAAAAAAAGAATATTTCAGTGTGAACACACTACTTACACCATTTACACTACAAAATGGCATAGAATAGTGTACAAGTATGTGATTTGGAACGCACCCATAGACAGTACTGACAGAGCCCTACCGGCTGTTCTCCAGCATTTTCTAGATAAATGTCCACCGATGCTCTCCCACGCGAGCACGGGAAGAACATGCAAACTATTAGGGATGCACCGATATGGATTTTTTGGCCGATACCGATAACCGATAAGAGTCTCCCTCTTCTGCCTGCCCTCCATTAGCTGAAAAAGGAAAAACCTGACACAGACAAGGCCTAACTATCTATCTATACCAGTGGTTCTCAAAGTGTGGTACGCAGGCTTTCTTCTAGAGGTGCACGGAGGAATCACAGAATAATAATTAAAAATATATTATATATATATAAAAAAAAATGTATATATATATATATATATATATATATATATATATATATATATATATATATATATATAAAAAATATAACGCCCTTTTACCCTTTGATGCGTATGATAACACAGATGTGATCAGCATTGGTTGTTCCCTGTACTGTATGATCACACTGTTATGATTAGTATGTTTAGTGCATCATGTCATCAGATGCTAAGATTGAAAAAGACTGTGGAGCTCTCGAGCAGATACGCACTAGTGAAGTGCTTTTCAGTTACTGCAAACTCAGGAGTTTCTACAAGCTGCATCATTGGTGAAATAATTATCACAAACGTGTTAAAGTGTTCATAGTTGTGTAAAATAATGTGTGTTTTCGATGTATAGCCGATACATATTTCGATATATATTTGTTTTGTGAATAGCCTAGCGGTGTGGCTTTTGATTTAGTTTGTTAAATGGTGCAGGTCGCAGAACAGATTAAAGCCAATTTTACCATGTTTGAACCTTGAAAAAACACAAAATGGAAGTTTGTGCACAGACGGAGCACCTGCAAACCTTACCCAAGTCGACCTGAAAAACGGTGGTCGGATGCACAGTTTACACAAACTCCGCGGTTTACTTATGATATGATCTCAATTCCACCAAATCATGGAAATGCTGCATGTATGAATTGATAAATTACCTATGAATTGGTCAGTGTATTTATAATCACTCACTTTTCTGAAACACATACTGTAAATGACGCGCTGTAAGCAGATCTAATCTCTAATTTAAATTGTAAATGTGAATCATATAATTCAAATACAAGTTAATGTTTTGGGCCCTATCATACACCCGGCGCAATGTGATGCAAGGCGCGGCGCAATAGTCTGTTGCTAGTTTCAGCTTGGCGCAAGAGTGGTTTTGAGGCGTTGCGATACGCTGTTTGAATAGCAAATGCATTTGCGCTCATATGTGCATCCATAGGCGTTCTGGTCTAAAAAGGAAGGTGTTCTGAGGCACACTGCTGGCGCGTTGCTATTTTGCGAAACTAAAATAGATTTTTCATTAGACCAAAACAAACCCGGTCTAAACTCCAGCGCAGAGTTGCGCCTCGCTTACACACTGCTTAATACGCACAAGAGAGCAATAAGCAAATATCTTTACATATGAAAAAAATTAAATATTAGGGACATAGGATATAATAAGAATAGATATAGGATATAAATATAAAGGATTAAAATATTACAAAACATATTATTTTCTAGCCTACATGAATATGAAAAATCACTGCTTTTATGTCTTCTTCATCTCGGGAGGCTTTTTCAGTTTATTTATAACAATTTGCTTTTGAATAAGGTTATTATTATTAGCAGTATTATTTATTATCTCCATATTTATATTTGTTTTATGAAATACAAGCTTAGATTTGCCCACCTGTCAGGTTTTAGACCATATGGGGCACAGCATGTGTATTAGGATATAACTCAGGTTTTTGAACACACTTCGTTATTATTGTTCATTTATTCGTTTGCTGGAAATTAGAACTGAATTTAGAAATAGTTTTGAAACAAATATTTGCGCTTAACAAACAAAATTTATTATTTATAGGCTAATTGATGTCTGTGCGTAAAGGTTTCCCTATCTAAGAGCGAAAGTGAAAGTAGATCGATTATCTCTCATTCTCATGCAGTAGATGCTCTGTTTAACAGTTTTCTGTTTAAAAAAACTGTTAACTGTTTGCTAGTGAAATGCTTTCCACTTAGACTTACTTTACGTCCTGTAAATAGCGAATGCGCTTATGGCGCGACGCAGCTGGCTCTTAAAGGGAATGGGAGATGAGACTCTAATTGGTTTATTCTCAAAACACACCTATAACTCTTAAGAAAATAAACTCAACCCTTGAAAGTGGATTTTCCCATCTTTAAATTAGCAAAAATGTGTTCTGACACGCCCTGAAAGCGTTTGCGCCCTGCGTTTTGTGCTCTGCGCATGGACCGTCAAAATAGAGCCCTTAGATTTAAAGAGAGAGAGCGGGGATAGTTGTAACACTTCCAATCTCTACGACAAGGAACTAGTTACAAATCAGCTGATTCACTTCACACATGCTCATTTTAGTCCTCATACCACGTATGAAAAAGTCCTGTGACAGACACAGCAGATATTAGACAGAAAAACTACACTTCAGCTAAGATTAGCTAATTAATTATTTTTAAGATATCATTGCCTGATTTGTAGTTAAACCCATGTAATCTGTGTGTCTGATTGTGGATATACTTAATCCACATTGTTGGTGATAATGTTTTAGCTGTTAGCTGTAGGAGAACAGATTCATGGCCACATAATGCTGGGTCAGTTGAAACAACAAAAGCTAGTAACTTGCTAGTCACATCAGTGAAATGTTACCACCAACCCCAAGCAGATTTAAAACTGTATTTATATGATTTAATTTCAGTATTGCTATAGCTTATAAAAGAGAAAGTCAAAAGTAGTTTGAGTTCAGTGTTTGACCTCTGTGGGCTCATGAAGCCTGCAAACACAAATAGTGTTCAATTGTTGAAGCTGATGCACATTTGCACATTTCATTCAGCTTTGTAACACAGAGACACACAAACTATACTGAAAGCTCAATGCTGAATAAAAAGCTTTCAAATCCCTTTTTATGTCATAATTCTCATTTTATAATGTTACAACTAACCCAGACTGTGGGCTGAATTGTAACATTTCACTCCTCCTGTTTGAGGGCTTACTCACACTATGTACAGTTGCCTTGAACCGGGCCGAAGCAAATTTGTCCCCCCTCCCGTCTCACCCGACGGCCCGCACTCACATCGCATTTGGGACTGAGCATGCTTACGTCATCAATGATGCACAGTTCAGTAAGAAGCGCTCTCACTCAGCACAGTGGAAATTTCTTTAGTTATATCGTTTTCAAAAGTTCACACTTAGCTGATGACTGATTATAAGCAAGTTTAGCATGCTGTCCCGGGAGAGAGACCTGAGCTCAAAAGGTCCTTGAGCCCTGGGCTCCCTCCCGTTTGCCTCTCCCCTTGATATGAGCTGATGACTAAAATAAATGCTATGAAGAGATATGCTGCTGGATGAGAGTTTGACTGTAGTGCTAAATTTAGATTGATCAATTCACTTGACAATTGGACACCGGAGAACCCAGGGAAAACCCACGCGAGCACGGGAAGAACATGCAAACTATTAGGGATGCACCGATATGGATTTTTTGGCCGATACCGATAACCGATAATTCTTCAGACTTGGAGGCCGATAGCCGATATATATAGGCCGATAATTATAAATTTCAAAATGTTATATTTTTATACAGCAAACTTCATAAAAGCTGAAACTCCGCTCTTTTGAACTGAATAGCCTATACTCAAAGCAAAAAAGCTATGATTTCAAAAGTATATATTCAATTATATATAACCTATATTCACGATTTCACACAAATCAGCATGCAAAAAATATATTATTTAATTTTCTTCATAGCAAATTAACATGCAAATTGACTGTTGCATAAAATTAAAAAGGTTAAATAACAAAATAGGATTTAATTAACAAGCAAGTTAAATATATTTTAAATAAGATGAAATTTAAAGAGTTAAGGACTAAAACCAGCTCAAATGTTCTTGAATAAAACGGGTTACAGTAATGTACATGTGTACAAATATGTCATGTCCGAAAACGCCTTTTTTTAGAGGTGTTTTGACAGTTCAGAGCCACAGTACAAGTGATAAGCTAGATACAGAATGTATTATTTTTAAAAATGCGACATAAATTCATCCTATTTGGCGTTTTAGATTCTTTTGAACACATGTAGTATCAACGCTTGCGTTCGTTCTTACTGTCAATCGCGGGGAAAATGATCGATGGAAAGTTTATGATAAACCGCTGTGAGGGTGCAGATTTGCCCTCGGATTTTGATACAAACCTGATCATTGAGCTCAGATGACTTTATGGCAAACACAGAGCAGAATATAAAGACAGAACGTGTGGCCCGTATGCTGGATTCAGTGACCGGTGCACCTAGGCTCTCCCCTGTTGATCTGTGAAGGCTCAAGATCTATGTGTGTGTGTGAAGGCTGTCAGATCTATGTGTGTGCGCTCGTGCGGTGAAAGCTCTCGCGCGCTTGTTATAATCAATATGAATATTCTGATCAACACATGGGAAACGCGTTGATAACAAATAATTATATTAGACTAAAAACTTTCCGTAAAGTTTTTGTTTAGCGCGTCACGTGTGCAGGTCAGTTTGGTGTGTGTGTGTATGTGTGTTTGTGTGTGTGAAGCGAAGAGGGAGAGACAGAAAAGAGGAGCGCTTTTTTCGGGTCCTCATTCATTCACCGGCTGCAACTAAAAGAATTAACCCTGAAACTAATATTATTCGGCCTTGGAGTAATAAGTAAATCTCCCTGCTATCTCTAACACAACAAATAGACTGAGCAGGAAAGACTTTCATATGTAATATTTTTTTCCTGAGGCGATTTGAAGCAAAATACACAATGACACTCAATCAAACATATCTACAATGATAAGGATAACGGTTACTTACTGAGTTATTAACGCACAGCAATACCACGTGAGGAAAGGACGGACTTTGAAGGAATAATCAGTGTGAGGAGAGATCCATGAACAAATCTGAACATGTTTCGCCCACGCGTGCACAGCAACAATTACGTAATTTATCGGCTTAATTTAGACATCGGATCGATAACAATAATCTTAAAAATAGCATTTATCGGCCAATAACGATATGGCTTCCGATATATTGTGCATCCCTACAAACTATGCACAGAAATAACAGCCGGCCTGT